CGGTCGTTGTTATCGGAGTTTGCGGTGCATTTTGTCAATTTGTTGGCAATACTTCTCTGCAGTAATCGTTTCACACGGATTCAAAAAACTGTGGTGAAATGGCCCGGCTGCAGACCACCAAGCAGTCACCATAACTTCTTTTAGTACGATTTCGGCTTTCGGAAGTGCTGAGACCCTGGTCGCAATCCAACGATTGAGCTAAACGTCGCCAGTTGTCGTACAGAATCCATTTCTCGTCGCACGTCACAATTCCATCAAGAAAAGGGTCGTTTTTGTTGCGCAAAACAACAGCAGACGACACTTCAAAACGGCAACTTTTTTTGATTATCGTATAGTTCGTGCTGCATCCACTTGTTGAGTTCTTTTTTGTCTTTCCGATGCGATTCAAATGAGTGGAAATTGTTTCTGTGCTTACGCCAAGCCGTTGTGCGAGTTCTCGAACAGCTGTTCGCGTGTTTGCTTCCTACCTTCAATTCGTCGTCGTCAAGTTTATTGGGACGTCCGCGGCCTTCCTTAACTTTGACGTCAAAATCACTAGATCAGAATTTATGGAACCGTGTTTGCACTGTTGATTCAACACTACCTTCATCCCAAACTTCATGATGTTCCGAGCACCTGCCGCTTCATTGTGTCCACTTTTCCACTTTCACAAAAAAGAACATGAATATCACGTTGACTAAGTATCAGTAAAGTTAGAACCTATAAAAATGTTAAAATAATAAGTCTTGAGAAAAACCAATATTAGACATAGAAAGGGCAGACTTTGCGCTCCAAAAATATATATTAAACCCGAATAAAAAGCAAAGTTTTTATCCAAAAGAATCACATGGAAAATTAAAACAATGGAATCGGACATTACATATGTTACAACTTAATATTAGCTTTCGTTGGTAGTTGCTCGTAGTACCCACCAAAATGCCTCCTTTCTGAATATTTCCACATAGATGCATTACTTTTCATGACATAACTGCTTCAGTACCTTCTGTATTGTGACAAGTATTCAGTACACATGTCTGACTGTGGTATAGGAATTTTGCTCTAACCCTTTCTTTTGAACTGACTCCCGTAAAAAGGTATTTAGTCCTTACTAGATTGCTAATTAAGAAAATCGTTTTACTACAACACTTACACTAAGCGTTGAAACGACTGACCAGAGCTGCGAAACACCAAATGCCCATAACATAATGCTGGCCATCTGTATTTACCTGTAGCCCCGTTGATCGTCGAGTGACTCGAGCGGGCGCCAGTAAATCTTCCATTTTTCCCTGTCGCGTGTAAGAGTAGCCCAGTGGGTACTGCTCGCTCTAATGGCTCATCAAGCATCATATCTTTCTTCAAAGCTCTTTGTGAAGAACTCTGACCATCGGGTCGGTGGCCTTCCTGCACTACGTTTGACATTGCGAGGAATCCAGTCACTAACGGCTCTTGTCCATCGGTTGCCATCTATTTATACGCATTACTTTTCCGATCCATCTTATTTTCTACATTTTGGTGTACAGAACAGCATCTTTGATTTTTGATCGTTGACACAGATCGGAGCTTCGGATCCCATCTCTTACTTGTGTGGGACGGGATGCCTCAAGCACCGTCCTTTCGACTGCTCATTTGTTAGCGCTGAGTGATCTTTCATCTTGCTTACGCAGAGACCAAGTTTCAGACGCATACGTTAGGGCAGGAAGTACCGTTGAGTCGAAAAGGTGGGCACGGAGTCGGGTGTTCTTTGTTACCAAACATTTATCCGGCTAACGTTACGACGTCATCAACGGGCAATCATCATCAACAACAATCGTCGTGTATAAAACCTGTTTTAGGTGAGGTTGCCTCATTCGAGCAGTTTTGCACTGATGACGGTTCGACTCAATATGAAGAAGAAGACATTGAAACGTTACAGGAATAAATATTTGGCAACAGCCTTGTGTTGGCTTATGAATGAAATAAAGTACTCTTCCAAGAACACTGGAATGTTACACCTCATTCATCACATTCTCCAGTGTATACTCTGCATATCATTAGTTTCAGGTTTACAGGGCACCAACGGGACGTGGTTATCTACGATGACGCAGAGCTTAAAAATGACATCCGAAATTTATTAACGGTCAGGGCTCCTGAGAAACTGCACCATGTACCCAGAGATGGGAGTGTAGCGCAGTGGTCAGAGGTGCCCTACATTATACATTGCACCAGTCGCTCGTTCGATACCGCGCTTTGGGATCATTAAACCCTTTCTTCATCTTTTCGGGATCGACAAGCTGGCAACAGACCTCTAGAAGGATAGCAGCACTGTCTCGATACATCGATAGGCCTCCGCAAGTCATTGTATAGGCCAGGCAAGCACTCACTCACCTCTAACGATGTTTGTTGAAGTCGAATGCATGGCGCATCCATCCATCAGGTACTGATCAATGGCGAACGTTCACGAACGAATATGTATCCGTTACTACGATTACAAAAGAAACTGAAGTCGCTTTTTCTAATAAAGTTATGTAGTTGCAAAGAAATCACGATGCCGCAGGCAAAGGATAAAGACCAAAGCAAAAACCTTCCGGCGTTGATGAACCCCTGATGAATGCTCTATGCATTCGACTTCATCAAGCCCTATTAGAGATGACTGAATGCACATTTGGCTTAAATAGTGACATGCTGCTGGCTATAGATGTATCGAGGCACTGTGGGTAACCTCCCATACGAGTCTGATAACAGTTTTCTGGCACTAGGGGATGGAGGGTTCGGTGAACCCTGAGCGCCGGATGGAGCCAACGACCGTGCGCGCATTGTGAGGCATCTTTTACCACTGTACTATATACGCCCCAACGCGATCTCGCAGACCTGTAGACAATTGGATAAACTTTTGTGTTGTGTAAAAGAGCAACACTACTGTGTTAACCCTTTATTTCCTGCCTGCTATAATTTTCTACGGCAGCGTGTGGCGTGAATTACAACCACGGTAATGCTGAGATATTCACAAAACTTGGAGCTTGGGCCAGATCGAACCACGACTTTCCTTTCCGAACGGTCGCGTACTACACACTGCTCCACGGAGGCTCTTGCTCTCCGTTCCTCTCGGCTAATTTTCTACCTAACGCTGCCATCATCAGTCACCAAAATTCAGTCACACTCACCAATCAAAAGTAAGCAGAAAATAAAAAGTTAACATTGTGATTTCGACTACAACCCCAGCTTAACTGGGATCATTGCTGATCTGTGCTCCCCAGGACAATCCCGATGACGGGTGATTGCTAATGGTAGCACTGGGTAGAAAACCAGCTGCGAGAGACGCAAAACAGGAGCCTCCGTGGAGCAGTGTGTAATGCGTGAGCTCCGAAAAGCGAAGTCGTAGTTTGGCTTGGTCCCGGGTCCAAGTGTTGCGAATATCTCAGCGTCCTTGTAGTAGCAACTCTACTCTTTAGACAGTTTTTTCTAGACATTTCTGGGCTATAAAACACCACTCCCATTGTCAAATGGCAAATAGGAAAGAAACTGAAGATCAGATTGCTTTGAAATAACCGACTCTAGCCAGCTCGTCGAAGAAGATGACTGGTAGAAGCCCAATAAATCACACTAAAATCTGAAATTCGGAATATTGAGTACTCAGGCTAAAGCCGCTCGTTGATCCCCTGGTTCTTTTTCAAAGAATGGATTATTTCACGAATTTATAGGTATACCGAAGAGTTTATTTTATCTATTTATAGACAATTTTTCAAAAAGACTTAATTTTGGAACTATTCAGTACACAAGTTTCTATAAACTGAGAGCGACCTTTAACCCTTTCAAGATTCGTTACAAAAGGAAATATCAACTATATGCCTGGGAATAATGAGCATGGATGAAATTTGATGCTTTCATCATTCTTCGACAGCCTCGATGAAAAAAAAATCGGCAGAGAACTACACCTGCGCTTCATTAAATCCGAATTTGGTCATGATGCAATGAGGAAACTTCTGTAATATTTGAAAAGATCGGTACATTTTACTTCTTGTTGAATTAATACAGTCCATTATGACCTGAGACGTCTTGGCTTCAATAAGCGGCCGCTAGTTTCACACAATTGCAGATCAATTCTTGTCCGAAATAAGTGTTAATTATGAGACTCGAAAGGACACCAGTGAAGGCTTCCACTGTCATGCACCACAGTAATCTAGCCGTATACGGATGGATCAATCGAACTATTTGTCGACGTGGGTAATAAAACTGAGTGAACGAACCACTACTACACACGAACGTCGGAAACCCTGGAATATCCACAGCCAAGACGAAGCAGTAACGCTTTGATGGCCAGCAATTCATGCACAAAGCAACCGTTCGACTACAATTAGTCGACATTAAGACTTACATTTGTCTTTTTCCCCACCAGTGAAGTGACATCCGAAGAATTTCAAAAAAATGTAAATGCCCAAGTAATTTGTTAAGTCTTTACTAATTATTCAACCATTTCAGAGACAAGGAATTGTGTCATATCACATTTGGGGAATGAGTTCTGCATTTAGAATGCTGCAGCTTTACAAAACGCATTTAGTGTAAGATACAACAAGAACATCTTAATTTGGTCAAAAGCAAAGGTAGTAAGTCGATCTCTCACGGAAAATTTTCAGGGAATCTTCACAAAATAGCAGAACCACAGGACCAATGTAAATTTAATTGAGAGTTTAGAACATATCACATAAATTATGTCATAGAATTGGTACCATAAAAAGAGAAAAAATTTGTGTTCCCGTCGTTAGGTTGGTAATCGCCCATTCCGTTCCGCATCTCCATCTGCCAAGACGTAAGCAGGCAAATATCTAAAACTCTAGCTTGAAAAAAGTCTTCATAGTCCGTACCTAAAGCTCCAAAGAAGCGCATCTTTCCTTTCTTTGTAAGCCACTTTACTGAATAAATAATTAGTCCATAGGTGATCCACGACTAGTAAAACAGTATGTTCCAAAAAAAGGATGCGAAATAAAAACAACGGAGTACTAATAACAGAAATATTTTCACCAAAAGTGATGAAACTCTAATGAAGCTCACCTCTCCACACCATCCTTTTCAACAATTTTCAACAATGGATTTTTTACAGTGGTGGTTCGTCCACCTAATGAAGTATATCCCATATCATATAACGAACAGTACGGCACACATAAACCTCGCAGCAATGACCACACATCGTGGTAGGACCACAGTAATACTGGACAGACACGCAGGATTTTTGGCCAGTCCTCATCAGTCCACTCAATATGCGACCTAAATTTGACATATAATACAAAGTGACTGGAGACTCTATTTGTTATTTTACGACTCTTGCAAATCATCATAAACCACATCGCGCCAAAGTAATGCACAAAACCAAAACGATGATATTTCAGGTTAAAGTTGAAAAGACGAGCCGGTTAAACGTCTAACTGAAGGATCTTAAACGAACATAACTCCAATCGTAAAGCAAGATAATACAAAAGGAAGCCACCATTATATTTATACATAGTGCGCATTGAGCATTGTAGATAAGCGTTTGCTAGCACTTCAACATCTTGTAATGTCGAACATTTAGTAGCAACTGGTTACTGTTAACAAAAACTGTCATCCCGAATCAGCGAGTTTGAGCGAAACGCTTAAAATCTTCGGACGTTCGGTGAACAAACCCTTGCTTAACTTTTTCCCAGCTGATTTCCCATTTTGGCTCTCCCTGGATCCTGGTATTTGGACATTCATATTGCTACTTCTCTCCGTATTTCTTTCTCTCTCTCTCACAACTTTCTCTCTTTCAGTTGATTTTCTTTACTCTGATTTGCCTTGCACCCATTTCTTTGTTCACTCACTCTCGCCCCTCGCTCAATTACTTTTCTTCAATCCTTATTCCAAATCAAGTAATCGTTCATAAAGATTGAAATTTAAGTTTGAGTTACACAACTCCATGTCAAAAAATTCAGGCAATATAAGTAGCAGAAACAGATAAAAGAAGAGAACTAGCCTCATACGATTCCCACGAGGATCGCTTGCTCTGCTGCCCAACAATACAGCGACCACATTTGGTTGTTCTTTCTTCATCAACTTCAGTCCTGCTTTAAGAGGACCAGGATATTCACTCATAACCATATTGTAACTATAACAATATTTTTCCATGCGAAGGAGTTAACATGAAAAATGGCGCCTCACTTTCTTGCGGCATCTATGATGAATTGAGTAGTTTCTGGGAAGTGATCATCGCAAACAATGTGAAAACCCTGAATCTCCACTTCTGGACCGAACATTCTTGAAAAGAGAACGATTTATTGGACCAATAAAACGACGAAAAGACGGAAAATAAATGACAAATGACATACTCATCAACTACTAGCCGAAACAAATGGAGCAGGACCGTACAGTCTTTCCCACCATTAAACGATAAAGCAATTTGATCCAAACTAAAAATATAGAACAAAAAACAAAGTAAATTTAAAAGGGTAATCGCACTCTAACTTACGGATATCGCTCCACTGTTCTTCTCAGTACTTGTAGTGCCTCGCCAAGGCGTAAAACATAGGCTGGATTTTTAATGAGCTCTTGTTCTCGATATTTGGAGAATTTTGTGGAAGTATCAATCCATGGCTCATCATCGTAGTAGACAAGCGTACCTGAGAAAATTTTGATTAACGATAACAAGTAACGTTCACTTGTTTGAACAAAAGCGACTGCTTTGACAGATCTGTAGATGACGAGTTGACGCGTTCACCACCACACCATGCGGGTCCTTTGTTTCGCACGTCTCTCAGCTATTTCTATCGATCTTTTTGCCACAGCAATCACCCGTCAGCGGGGTTGATCTGGGGAGCGCAAATCGGCATAGAACCCAGTTAAGCTATGGCTGTAGTTGAAATCACAATGTTTAACGTTTTGTTTTCTGCCTTCTATAATTTTCATGGCAGGTTACTAACCTGCGGTCCAGAGTTTTGCAAATATCTCAGCAACGTTGTGGTTAAATCGAAAAAAAAAACTCCCCGGAAAGGACAATAGCGCGTTCGTTCCCCACCATAGACACCTGCGGTCCAGAGTTTTGCAAATATCTCAGCAACGTTGTGGTTAAATCGAATTAGTTGTGAAACGAAATTATTAAGGGGGACGTCTGAGTAATAACGAAGGGCGCCAGGGATGTGCACGTGTCGTTAGAAGGCAACTGGCACTGATATGAGGCGTGATTACATCCAAGCGAATGGCGTGTCTGATTGGGTCAGGTCCCCAGCAATGTTGCCGTGTCCGGTAGTGCGCCTGTTCGTTAAGAGTTTCCATGCCTGGTAACGTTCTTCATGGTTAAGAAGGAGTATTCATGTACGGTAAGCACGCGGGAATTGTGTCAAGCAATTTTATATTGCATACTAGGTTATATAACAGAACTATGAGGTACAAATGTTTGATTAGGACAAACATGTTGAAATGAATATTTGAAACGAAATATTCTCTATGCAACGATTTGACAGCAGTTTGTCAATAATTCAATGTTCTTCTTCAATAAGCAGACACGAGGTTGCTAATATAGAATTTATTAGAATACAATAGCTGACGTTTCGGCGGTTTCGCCTCCTTCAGAGCCTGGAAAGGTCAAATTGAGATGTGATCTACTCAGCCAAACACTTTCGTAACCCCAGCAGATAAAGCTTGACAAATCGATTTGCATTCGCATAAGAAACAGCTTCATTCAAACACCTATCGTTTATTTGTTGTAAGTATTTAAGTTAGTTGATGGATAGCCGCCGCACAAAGTAATACATGGGCGATAACTGTGTCTGCGTCAGGTCATTGGATTAGCCTGAGGTATGGCGCCAGGTTACGCGTGATGGCAAGACACTCCTCCTTGCGGTTCATTTTTGAATTTTTGGCATTGATCCAAAACCCTTCAAGAGTTTTACGCGCTGATGTTTTCGATTCCTGCGTGAGGATAGTGACTCCTACCTCAAAATCTTCTCCGTTGTGTTCCTGCATCCTATGCGCGCCTAGTGGAGTATTTTGTTTTAATTCAGATTTACCGACTAGATGTTCTTTTATGCGGGCGCAGAGCGGTCTACCCGTTTCGCCAACGTATTCGTCCCCGCACGCTTTACAAGAGACCCATAAGTTAATATGCGCCGATGATCTGGCGTCTACCGACTCCTCCACTTTTAAACTGAGACCTATCATCAGTTGTGTACAGGGGTCTACAGATAGAATTGCTTGGTTTATAAACCTAATCCTCAACCAGTTGCTTAGGCACATACCAGCCCATCTCACGAACACCCAAATGTTCCTAGACCGTCTGCGTAACGCACGTCCCAAAAGCGCGTACGTTATGGAGTCGTTCGACGTTACCGCTCTTTACACTAACGTGTCGAACGACTCCGCAATGCAAGCCATCCGTGAGCTTCTTGAGAAACACGAAGGAGCAATTAACATGTATGGCTTTTCGATTCAGCAGCTTAAGGGTCCTCCTGAAGGTCTGTTTAAACTACTCGATCTTCAGATGGTCCGGGAAATATTACGCACAAACCAGAGGGTTGGCAATGGGACAGTGACTGGCACCAACCCTTGCCGTTGCCCTTATGTGTAAAGTGGAAGCACCAGTAATCGATCTCACGCCATTACTCTACTGTAGGTATATAGATGATTGTTTTGTCATCTGCTCCACACAAGAGGAGATGGACAAATGCTTTAGGTTATTGAATGAACAGTCACAGTACATAAAATTCACCCTTGAGAAACCGAAAGAAAACTGGCTTCCATTTCTAAACCTTCAAATTAACCTACCCAAGAACGGCTACTACACAAAATGGTATCGAAAGCCAAGCAGTAAGAATATAGTGGTTCACTACCGCTCCTCTCACCCCTCACACACTAAAAGA